AGGAAATTTATGACGCGGAAAGTGATGTTCGGACTGGATTAGATAAAAACAGTTCATTGGCAGAAATTATCTCGTTAATGTGAGGCTGCACGCATCACAGTAGCTCACAACTGTTGTTGTCATGGCGACCGGTGGCTTTTCTGTTTAGAAAGGAACTCACCCATCCTCGGAACTGGCCGCCCGGTGCAAGTCAACACACAACAGTAAACTCAAGTGCCGAATGGGAACTTGGAACGTAGGCCTAACTGTGAATAAGGCGTTCTTTACGCGGAGGGTAGTGATGAATGTAGCGTCTGTCATGTTCTGCTTGAACCTGTGTCAATGAGATGTCATGACTAAGAGCATATTTGAGCTGCCAAGTTAGGTGGATTGATCTGACTCTAGCGTCAAACGAAATGCGGGGTGAGTGTTTGTCGGAACCGTTTTGAAGAAGGAAACATATGTTTTCAACGTAAAAAAAAACAGTTGATTAGACATGTCATACCTTTAGTTTAATAATGATAATGATGACGATTATGATGTTGATAATAATAAATAAAAATAAATATATGTGGCTTGAGTCCGCAAGCGAACTCTACCGACCGAGCGACCGCCGCTTGTCGGAGAAGTTAGTGTCAACTTTAGCGGATAGAGAGTGTCGCGTGGTCAGCGCATCGAATCCCCACGGCCGTTAATTTCAGTTTTCTAGACCGGAGCCGCTACTTTTCCATGCAAGTAGCTCCCCAGTTATCCTAACGAGGCTGAGTAGACCTCATTCCAGACCCACTACTTCTCAGAAAATCCGGTAGCGCCGGGAATCGAACCCGGGACATCTGGATCTGTAGCCAGTAACTGACCACTAGACCACAGAGGCGGTCGATAATAATAACAATAACAACAACAAGAACAAGAACAGCAACAAACTTGCAAAGCTGTGGCTGACGAGATCTGAACTGTTGTATTTGTGTTCAGAAGCTGGTTCCATAATTCAGCTTTAATTATTTTCTCAAGACAAGCCGCCGCCATGAGAGGTGACGTCACGGCTCGCACCCTCTCCTAAAGGTTACGCCCCTCGCAACCCTTCTCAACCGCAAGAACCAATCCCATACAATGGGGCACCCTCCCCAGCGGCAGATGTTCACAAGCCGGTTACATCCCCCTGGGTTGCGGTTTGCTGAGGCTTTATTTAGATATGTGTATGGGTGCGAAGGGGGAATTGAGACAATTACACATTGAGAAGCTTCATGATTGAAGAATCGAAATGTACGCATTCAGGATGCGTTCACTTCGTTGTGTGCCCTGGAGTGTGCCGACGCCTTCGGAGAGCGGCGCTAGAGATGCGCGCCCAGACGCGCACAGGTCGTCACGTGAAGTGTCCAAAATTGCCCGGGGAACACCCGCCCAAAAGTTCTCCAGTTGGTAGGATGCGGACGGACAGACGGACATGGCGAACGTGATGTGCAGAGGGGAGGAAGATTTTGTTGTGACACTGATGAACACTCAGGCTGCGTGAAGATAGCCACGTGCTTCAGGTAGCATTGGGTCCGTTGGTGCTGGGTACGAACCTCGGCTGTCCAGGCTCAAGTGGCCCTTCGTCCTCACAAGCGTAGACCCCTACAATATGAAGTTTTCAGGGCGGCGAAGATTCATATTGGGCTGTGATGCCGTGTAGTCTGGTAGGTAGGCAGGCAGGCTCACTGTCTCATACTCTGAAGACTGAGGTGGCATGTTGCTCTGAAACGTTGGAACCTGCTTACTGCCAGACTACACGGTGTAACATCTCGGAGACGGAAATGTAAACATTAAAGAGTAGAGTGGCGAGCAGTTGTCACGTTTATGAAGTCTAATCTGAAGTAGTAGAGTAATTCATTGCCGTATTCACAAGGACAGAGCAGTGTGCACAGTTGTATTCTTAACCAGACGCGGCCCCTCGCTTTGTGCTCTGCTATTCAAACCGGAGGCGGGCCCTCACTTTGTGCTCTGCTATTCAAACCGGAGGCGGACCCTCACTTTGTGCTCTGCTATTCAAACCGGAGGCGGGCCCTCACTTTGTGCCTTGGGATTCAAACCGGAGGCGGCATCCCAGTTTGTGCCTCGGGATTCAAACCGGAGACGGGCCCTCACTTTGTGCTCTGCTATTCAAACCGGAGGCGGACCCTCACTTTGTGCTCTGCTATTCAAACCGGAGGCGGGCCCTCACTTTGTGCTCTGCTATTCAAACCGGAGGCGGACCCTCACTTTATGCTCTGCTATTCAAATCGGAGGCGGACCCTCACTTTGTGCTCTGCTATTCAAACCGGAGGCGGGCCCTCACTTTGTGCTCTGCTGTTCAAACCGGAGGTGGACCCTCACTTTGTGCCTCGGTATTGAAACCTGAGGTGGCCTCTCACTTTGTGCCTCGGTATTGAAACCTGAGGCGGCCTCTCAGGTCGTACTCTGTGGTCAAACCAGACGCGACATATCGCTTTGTGTTCCGGGATTCAAACCCGAGTTTGCCCCGTCCGACGGGCGGCCATGAGAGCAAGAAGTTGACCGAGTATCTGACGGGCGTTATCTCAAACATTCCTTTTGTTTGTGTCACGTGGCACTATGTGGACCTGCACCTAAGGTCCATAAATTTCAATGCTTCTGCTGCTAACTAACGAAGTAGGCTTAAGACACGTTGACTGAATGTACGAAAAAGGAAGGCACTCGCTGGTGACAGGATGAGCTGGCGCGGAGCGAGTCCTCCCGGTAAGAAGTAGGCTCAGCGAGCTTTCCGCTATTTACGAGGCCCGATTTGCTTGACAGGCGTGGCACTCGAAGGACCGTGATTTACTAGAGCACTCCATTAGGACTCGGCCCCCTTCATCATGGCGATTGGACGCGGCTGTCGCCCCATTCGCTGGGGCCGCGCTTGTTACCGCTGTCACTGCAACTGGATACCTTCGTTCTCTGCCAACCGCTGTGATTCCATTTCTCGAATTATCTGCGCAAACCGAGATTACGGCACAGTATACTCTCGCTAATCCAGATTAATTGGGGGGAGGAGGTCATCCTGATTAAGCGATAATCTGGATTAGTAAAGCAAACGTAGCCCTACAGGAAAAGAAATTTAGGACACAAATAAATGGAAAATTTAATGATGCAAGTAGTAAGGCAAGGCAAAAGCTGCCTCTATAACAGGCCGTGGGGACCCATAGGGTTGTGAGACGTCGAGGCTCCCACATTTTCTAGACAGTTGGCTCACAGATGGCGGTGAGGTCAGCCTTACGCGCCGGACGCCCTTTACCCGCAGGAAGATCCCTGGTACTCATTTCTGTTAGAGGCTAGTCGACCCCAGGGCCGTATAAAAATGAATAAAAAATATCATTGTAGATCCTTATTAAAAAGGAACTATCAAATAGCGCCACCCTTATTCATCGACAAAAGACTCAGAAGTTTCCCTTTTTTAACGTAATTATGTATGTTTGAAGAAACTGTCAAGTTTTGTCTGAACAGACAAGTGACTCATTTGGCTTCCTAAACGCCAATGTGTCTTAAAGTATGTACCCAACTGCGATCAACTTTTTTCAAATTTCGATCAGGATTATCCGACATCCGTTTAACTAACCGCATTAGAGAGGATTCACTCTACGAGTATATAGAAACCTGTAATTCTGCTTGTTGTTTTGCGCCGGTGAGAAATTTATGTTCTCATTCTGAGGAAGTTGTGCAGTTGTTTGAGTACGGGTTTCAGATGAAAACGCCGAGGATCAGATTTATATGTAGGAGAGCTCGAGTAAGACAGCATGGTGCAGCCAGAAGGGGCCCTGCGTTCCTAGTGTTTCCAGTCGAGCTGTCGCTTTGTGGTCGCTCTGCTTCCAGTCACTGGGCAAGCACAAGCGATGAGCAGGTACAAAGCACGGCCGGCGACCCTCTCCACAGGGCGGTATGGGCTCTTGTGTGCTTTGTGCGGTGTGACTTACCGACTGGCAAACCGCCCCTCCGTCTATCTATCTGCCTGTTCATCTACATATCTATCTATTTATCCATGTATCTAACTTATCTATCTATCTATCTATCTATGTATCTATCTATCTATCTATCTATCTATCTATCTGTCTATCTAGATTTATAGGCTGCCACGAATTGGTTCCGATTGTCCCTCGGATGCAGTCATTATGCCTCACAGTATCTGGCACGCGGCCTGTTGCAGGCTGAGGAAGTTTGTTTCTTGCGTCCATCTCGGAGGGAGCGCCGCGAGCCCGTTACCGCGGCAAGTCCGTCCAGTTTCTCGCCACGAACTCGGTGTGCCCCAAGTTCCCATATTCGGTACTTGATTTCAGTGCGTGTTGTGGCGATCACGGGGGCCGTGGGTGTGTCCAGCGGGTCACGCAGCTAACAAGGTCAGAGCTCAGTCGGCCACGAGAAGGTGTCCGTGACAAGTGCCGGCACGGCCATTGCGTACACCTGTAGCTGTTTAACGGCGCCGAACTCGGTTGCGGCGACTACGTGTGAGAGTCGGGACACAAGTAGCCACAGCTTTATAAAGCAAACGAGCCAATGGAGCGGCACAGTTTGCCGCATGTGTTCACAGTGCGGTGTGCTCATAACTGAAGTTTGTAGGCCTGTGTGAGGTGCAAATGCTTGATTAATTAAAATTCAGTTACAGTAGAATAATGGTAGTCCATTTCTTCGGTTGTTCAATGACTGTCAGAAGCTGCGCTCCTGTGTTCAGTACTCGCATTCTTCTTTTTAATTACTGTCGTGCTGATGTTGGCAAGATTGATAATTTGGATTAACTAGTTTAGACTGCGCTTGCGCATAAGCGATACGGACGAACAAGGATCCCTGCGCATTGAAGAAACACCTGCAATCTCAAGATAAAGTTCCCAGGGGTTTTCGCTGTGACCTTCTCTGGCCCGTTTTAAATCACGGGGAAGTTAATCGGAAGTGTTACGGAGACGAGACCAAACCGGGGATCGGCGAGGAGCTGTGGATGTAAGCGATATCGGGAACAAGTAAAAAAAGATAACTGTTTTAAAGGTAAAGAGGTGACGTTGTCCCAGTGCCTAACTGATTACGCACTAAGCCATAAAGACGTGTGGGGGAGTGGAGTATAGATTTACATATTCTTCACCTCAACAGTAGTTGAAGGTGCGTGGTGCGGGGAAAGAGCCCCCGTTGGATAGGAGGCTGCATGATCAGAGCGCGCTGTGCTGGGAACCGAACCTCGGTCTTCCAGTCCGTCGCTGTACCGACTGAGCTATCGCAGCCTAGGAATTCATGAAATGACTGCTATTGTTCGGTCGGGCCACTGAAGTAGAGAATAAGGCTTCCTTGTCAGAATTTTGTGCATTGTGGAAAGAACCGAGTCTGCATGTTCAGGATTTATCTGAGTTGTTTATGGTATTTGGCATTTCATGTGCATGTGTGAGTTAAGGCGTCATCATAGCCTGCACTGTGTCTAAATATGGATTGTGCAAATGGGCTGGGTATGTAACACGCATAATGTTTTCTTGAGCGGGGGTCATTTAGGAGATCTCGGTGTGCAGATAATATTAAACTGATTTCGTGTGGTGGGAGAGGGCGGTTGGGGGTTAGACGTTTAGACTGAACACCGGTGAAGGAACAAAGGATGAGAGACAAGCACATATGTACGGGGTCCACACTTCATTCGGCATTGGGACGGGACGAGCCTGTTGATTAGAGGAAAGTTTTGTGGCGTGTACTGGCCTACATTTCGTCATGACCCATCAAGGCCGCCTCTAATGAGTTGCCTACATTGACGTCATTGCGTTTGTTGAGCCGGGCAACACTGAGATGGAGGCTGGATCCATGGGGCCCCCACGCACGCTAATCCGTTTCCAGTGGAGGGGCGGCGGGCTGCGGCTGTAGCCTTCAGTAGCGATCGGTTTGTGTACACTTATGGTTACATCCCGCTCCTGGCCTTGCTGTAGTCCTGTCCTACCGGATCGCGGGTTGCCTCTTTGTGGGAACAAACAAAAATAATTACCATGAGGCGCTTATAGACTTGAATTACACTTTCGATAGTGAGGGTTCAATTCCCTTTAACAAAAATTTGTGTTTTTTCTTCTCAGTGAATGTGCGCTGATCAACCCTGGGGGCCACTTACACTCGTTTCCATTGTGCACTGGGATAGGAGGCACAAGCAGAGCACAGAATTAGAACATTGGGGAGCCACAGGAGATGGCTATGGGGGAAAGTGGGTCAGGCTCACGAGCCAGTTCTATCCAGTTGACATCATCACATTTTATTTGCCAAGAATTCATTTATAGCGTCACCTTTATATCTTGGTTTACCAAATGACAACTTCCCTTATGTCTATTCAGTTTGTTGCTGCCCTTGCGTGCTACATGCTACGCCTTCTAAGGTGACAGCCTCTGTTCTCAGAGATAATAGGTTTCACGAGTGTAAAATGGCCGTGTATAGAACGAAGTGATAATGGACATTTGTAAGCAGATGGAGATGGAAAATAAACACACGGAGAAACTTAAATTTTACGGGCGTTTTACCGGTGTGAGTTAGTAGTAGTGGCGCGTAAGTAGTGCAGTTAATGTCGCGGGACTCGAGCAAATTTTTTAGGAGTTGAAGGGAAACGGTTAAAGGAAGTTCCATCTTCGTGTGTTGGCAACAGTTATGAATTTTTCTGGTAAAGTTTCTGTGGGGACTGTCAGGTCGACAAACGTGACAAAGCAGCTGTTTGAGAGCGGGACAATGTGATGAGCAGTTGCCAAAGAGAGAAGTGATCTCGCTGGCCACGGATCGCGCCAGTCTGTGCCGATCACGTGCCGAGTACCGTGCGGACCTTTCAGTAAACACTAGCCTGGCTGGCAGTGCAGAAGCCGACGGCCAAGCAGCTCTAAGTTTATGTGCGTGAGTAGTTTTGTATTCTGTGTGTGTGTTGACTGCCGTTTGGATTCTTGTAGCGGATGGCGACATTGCTTGCATGCTAAGTTCAAACAGTAGCGTTGTGAAACTTGAGCTTTCGTATCAACAGGATGACCAACTGTTTAATGTGTTGTCGCGGCAAGTTAAACTGTATAGGCCTATGCTGAACGCAACCTGCGCGGGCAGCGCGTCGCGCACACTTCTCAGCACCGTTACTTTTTGGCGCTTCGACCATGGTGCATGGGGCAGTAAATGATATCTGCATTGTGGATAAGTTAGCTGCAATTTATATTCCAACCACTTGTGCCACACAGGCCTAAATACTAATCAGACTAGTCATAAGGCATATTTACGCTTTTTGTGGCCCAAAAAATTACCGGAACGGAGCAAATGTCAACATTTAGTACAGCTCTGGCATACCGAATCTGATCGAAATCGGTCAGGCAGATTTGGCACAGCTGCAGGAAAGTAGCGCGTGTTAGGAGAGGCACTGACTTGAAAGTGTGAGACAAAAATTAACAGGAGGCCAACATTTGTGTGCCTAGAGAGTGACGCCATGACACTTGAGGGGCCAACGGAGGCGCAACTGAAACGCATGCGCGAGGAGCTTCAAGAGGACCCAGAGGCTATTAAGGAGGATATGATTCGCTTCAGGGAGTGGCTGAGCAAGCAGCCTCACCTGCCACATCACATGGGTGAGTTGCAGGGTGTAGTTTATGTCCGATAGCCGAGCTGTTTTCGTGCTGTAGATCTACAAGCCTGCAAGCAGGGACTGTGGGGGGTTTCCCCATAACTTCTTCCTTTCCAACAGAGAATCCCAAGCCCTTGCGAAGCTGGGTAAAGAAATCGTCGTCATCTTATGGAACAGTGCATGGTCACAATATCCCGAGCCACATGAATCCAGGTCGCAGCCTCCTATCCCATTTCTTTGAGATCCATTTTTGTATTATATTCTCATCTACATTTAGGTCTTCCAGGTGGTCTCTCTCATTCAGGTTTTCACGCCAAAACCAATAATTTGTCTCTTCCGTGTGTGTGCTACATGCCTCACCATCTCAGCCTCCTTAATTTTGTCATCTTAATAATATTAGACGAAGAGTTCAAAGCACGAAGCTTATATTTATGTAATTGTCGCACTTGCTGCCTCAGCCCCTGCTCTCAAACACATTCGGCATATGAGACACCAGGTGTCACACCCATACAAAACTACAGGCAAAATTACACAGCTCTGTGTTTTAAACCTCACGTTCTTACAAAGAAGACGAGAAGACTGAAGCCATTACGCAGCAAAGAAATCTTAAACATGCCAGACTTGTCCGAATCATTTCAGTTTATTTATTTAATCCCTATTTGACAACTATCTAAGTTAATTTAGCTTCAACTAGTTGGATGATTACGAATGAGACGGGCGTGGTCTATTTCAATGTGTTGCGTTGTGAGACACGGGGTAGCCAGCCGCAGAAAACGTTCACAGTTCAGCCTCTACGGAAGGGAGACATTACACAGACACCAGTCGTGCTTTGTAAACTATAGACCACGGCCGTCATATCCCTAGGCTGCTCACGCTATGTGACGGTGAATGTTTGTGTGTCAGAGGATGCGCGGCTGGAGCGCTTTCTATACGGCTGCAAGCTGAGCTTGGAGCGGGCGAAGCGAGTGCTCGACACGTACTACATGGTGCGAGCAACAGCGCCCGAATTCTTCAGGGACAGGGACCCGCTCTCCGTGGACATGCAGCTTTGCTTCCAGTCCATACATTACGTGCCACTACCGGTCCTGACACACCTAGGCTATCGGCCGACACTCCTGCGCCTGGCTGACTGCGACGTCAACAGATTCGATGTACGAGTTTTAGCGACGCGCATAGTGATGTCACTGGACGCTCGTCTGTTGGAGGAGCGCTGCCTCAATAACGTTATGATAATAGACCTGGACGGCTACACTATGGGACATTACACCAAGGTGTCCCCCACACAGGCGCTTGTCCGCAAGGGGCTGCTCTGCATACAGGACGCCTTTCCACTGCGACTGGCTCAGGTACTGTTGTAGTGTTTTGTATACTGCTCTGCATACAGGACGCCTTTCCACTGCGACTGGCTCAGGTACTGTTGTAGTGTTTTGTATGCTGCTCTGCATACAGGACGCCTTTCCACTGCGACTGGCTCAGGTATTGTAGTGTTCTGTATGCTGCTCTGCACACAGGATGCCTTTCCTCTGCGACTGGCTCAGGTACTGTTGTAGTGTTTTGTATGCTGCTCTGCATACAGGACGCCTTTCCACTGCGACTGGCTCAGGTACTGTNCAGGTACTGTTGTAGTGTTCTGTATGCTGCACTGCACACAGGATGCCTTTCCACTGCGACTGGCTCAGGTACTGTTGTAGTGTTCTGTATGCTGCACTGCACACAGGATGCCTTTCCACTGCGCCTGGCTCAGGTACTGTTGTAGTGTTCTGTATGCTGCACTGCACACAGGATGCCTTTTCACTGCTACTGGCTCAGGTACTGTTGTAGTGTTCTGTATGCGGCACTGCCTACAGGACGCCTTCCCACTGCGACTGGCTCAGGTACTGTAGTGTTCTGTATGCTGCACTGCACACAGGACGCCTTCCCACTGCGACTGGCTCAGGAACTGTATTGTTCTGCATGCTGCACTGCCCACAGGACGCCTTTCCACTGCGACTGGCTCAGGTACTGTTGTAGTGTTCTGTATGCTGCACTGCACACAGGATGCCTTTCCACTGCGACTGGCTCAGGTACTGTTGTAGTGTTCTGTATGCTGCACTGCCCACAGGACGCCTTCCCACTGCGACTGGCTCAGGTACTGTAGCGTTCTGTATGCTGCACTGCACACAGGACGCCTTCCCACTGCGACTGGCTCAGGGACTGTTGTGTTCTGTATGCTGCACTGCACACAGGATGCCTTTCCACTGCGACTGGCTCAGGTACTGCTGTAGTGTTCTGTATGCTGCTCTGCACACAGGACGCCTTCCCACTGCGACTGGCTCAGGTACTGTTGTTTTCTGTATGCTGCACTGCACACAGGATGCCTTTCCACTGCGACTGGCTCAGGTACTGTTGTAGTGTTCTGTATGCTGCTCTGCATGCAGGACGCCTTCCCACTGCGACTGGCTCAGGTACTGTTGTAGTGTTCTGTATGCTGCACTGCACACAGGACGCCTTCCCACTGCGACAGTCTCAGGTACTGTAGTGTTCTGTATGCTACTCTGCACACAGGACGCCTTCCCACTGCGACTGGCTCAGGGCCTGTATTGTTCTGTATGCTGCACTGCACACAGGACGCCTTCCCACTGCGACTGGCTCAGGTACTGTAGTGTTCTGTAGCTGCTCTGCATACAGGACGCCCTTTCACCGCGACTAATTCAGGTGCTGTAGTGTTCTTTACCTATTCTGGACAGAGGACGCCCTCCCACTGCGACTGGCTCGGGTACTGTAGTGTTCTGTATGCTGTCTGAACATTGACCCTTATTTGTTTCAGGTGCATTTGCTGAACGCCCCAGTGTTCATCAGCAACATTATGAACTTGTTTAGACCCTTTCTGAAGGAGAAGTTTTTCAGCAAGGTAGTGTAACTATCGCTTCTTTATTTGTGGGACCCATAGGTGGCTGTAGTTGACCACCCTTTGATTGGTAGACCTTGGCCCCAGCTGCAATAAAAGCTGTGGACTGATAGCAAACCTTTCCTGGAGTAAAAGCAAGTGGCTTATACCATGTCTGCGTGAGTGTGTTCTCCCTTTCAAGTTTTGGAGCCGTTTTCCAGTGTTAAGGTAATTTTGTATGCTGTGATACTACTATTATAAATTACTCGAACGCTGTAATCTTTACTTTCCTATAACATGTAATAATCACAATAATGCACGAATTTCTGAGCTGGAAGCGACAATAATGCCACTTAATGCAGGGATCTGTAGTTATATGTGGCAGCAGATCTTTGAAACATGTCCAGTAAACATGGTGGGAAATGACAATTTTGTGACTTTCGCCAACAAGTCTCCCTGCGTCACGCCCCGGCCGCTTTATCCTACATTGTGTTTCAGGTTTTCTTCCACTGTTCCGGCTACGAGTCCCTGTATGAACATGTCCCGCGAGATGCGCTGCCCCGTGAGTACGGAGGCAAGCTGGACTCGATACAGGAGCTGACGGGTAAGTTGACACTGAGCCGACGGTTGCATCGGAATTGTACAGTGACATGGGATGCTGCGCAGTCGGCACTTCACTGTCGTCCCGAAAATGTAGGGTAACGTGAAATGGAGGCCGAAAAATTGGAAGGGGAAAGATGGAAATCGTATTTATTTGTCTGTATTGTACGGAACGACGTCAGAATCTCAAACTATGTAGCGTCGGGTGGCTAAAGATGGTATTCGTAGAGCCAATGAATAATGAATTGGAAAGGATGTTAAAGGGTGCGGCCGTTGCCAAGTCTGAGATATTATCCTGGCATTTGCATAGAGGGACTGAAGAAAACTACGCCCATCTTTATGCCAGATTAGCTGGTGTCTCCAACCGAGATTCGAACCGAACTCGTGCGCGTGTCTGCACCAGACACATCCGTGAAACGAATATCTGCAGGTTAACGTGTCTTGTGGCCGCCGTCACATTAGGCAAGGCTTCGTTGTTCCAGTGGACGCACAGCGCCGTGTTTATGTAGGGGAAGAACCGAGAGCCGATTGACGTGCAATGCTGTGAAAATGTTGTGCAGTCAGCCTATCAAGAAATCTGTCTTCACTCATACTTCAATCGACCGTTTCATCTCAATGTTATCCACTCTTCCCTTAATTGCCGCAGAGCGCTGGAACCAGAAACTCGTGTCCCTTCGACCCTGGTTCCTGCAGGAGCAGCTGATCAGCATGTCGGACGAGTCACGACGCCCGCCCGGACAACGCAAGAGTACGGCGTCTGCGCTAGCGTTGGGGCCAGAAGTCCATGGGACGTTCAGACAGCTGAGCATTGACTGAAAGCGCTCGGTAGCTCAACAGTAACAACAATAATAATGATAATAATAATAACAATAACAGCAGAGTGATTTGAATCGTCCTGAGTGCCACCCTCGTTGTCCTCAGTCTTTCCTGGCAATGCCCCATACCTCCCAGGCTCGTGCGGCTTGTGTATTTGAGAAAGTGACGTCGACACGTCCGTTACTACAGTCTGTCTTTCCATATAAGAGGTTACACAAGACTGACTTCAAAATTTGATAGTTGCTCCTGTTCCAGCTCTTAAATTCTCTTTAATATTATCCTTTTGTCACGCCATGCAGTAAATATATAGTATGCTACATGCTCCACCTATCTTATCCAGCTCCATGTAATGGCTGTAACAGTATGAGGTAGAGACCATGAAGCTCCTCGTTACGTAATTTCCTCCAGTCAAGTCTTACTGCACCTCGCCCCCTCCACACCTCTGTGAACGCAGCACCAATGTGCAAGGAAGACTCGCGGTGTGAGCAGCCTGCTGTTGTGGGCAACACAAGATCTCCCCTATCTTGTGGAGACTGTAAGAATACATTCACTTCAGATATTTTGTGTGTGGTGGTGTTGCTGCAGTCGGCATTGGGAAATTCCTCAATTTGCGTTCTGATTACGACAAATTTGGGGGTGGGGTGCCAAGAAAATTTGCTCCCGTTACGTGTATGCCATTTAAAAACTAATTTTACATATCTTCCGAGGGCATTTGAAATAGAAATAATTTGATTTTTACTTATTAGTACGTAATTTTTTTCTATTTCCCCAAAATGCGAGTGGTGTGAGTTGGTGTATGGTCCCCCCCACCAAAGATTTGTCCCAACACGTTGACCGCGCGAAACTTTGATGTTGAATCGGACGAATTCGACGTATACGTTGCTCCGAAAACTAGATTTTGCTTTAATGTTCACTTACTTACTTACTTACTTACTTACTTACTTACTTACTCACTCATGGAGCTGAGACCTTCTGGAGGAGCCGCCAATTCTGCAGCTACTCAAGAATTTCCCAGCATTTTATGGAACTCGAAGGTTCATTACCGTGTTTACAAGAGCCCTCCACTGGTCCCTATCCTGAACCAGATCTATCCAATTCCATACCATTCCATCCTATCCCTCTAAGATCCATTCTAATGTTGTCCACCCACCACCTACGCCTTGGTCTTCTCTGTGGTCGCTTTCCTTCTGGCTTTCCCACCAATATCCTATATGCATTCCTCGTCTCCCCCATTCGTGCTACATGACCTCCTGCCCACCTCATCCTCCTTGACTTGATCATTCTGATTATAATTGGAGAAGAGTACAAGTTATGAAGCTCCTCATTATGCAGTTTTCTCCAACCTCCCGTTATTTCATCTCTCTTCGGTCCAAATCCGTCCAGGTCCGAGGCTTTGTGTTCATTTTCGTAACTTAATGATCTTTCACGGTGAGGAGTTGTTAGCCCCAAGCCCACCCACCAAGCTGGAGGGCCAGCTTGTCGGCTGTCCGCGACTGCTTATTCGTTATATTCGCAGCTTCCCTCCAAAACTGGAGGGTGTCTCCTCCATCCGCATCCTGAGGACGCGCCATGTCGTGGTGACAGGGACCCACCTAACATGGCTTTAATGTTCACACTTCTTGGAAAGAAAGTCAGAAGATTAGCTAATCCGAAGTCAGTAGCAGCATTAATTCCTTGAGTCCTTTAATGTAATGAACACTAATTTCGTTTCACACTGCTTTCTCTCCTCAACCTAACACACTCTTAGGCCGAGGACACACCAAGGAAACTGGCAACCGCAACGCAACCGAGATTTCCGAGATTTGTTGTCAGCCTGAGTTAAACACGTTGCTGAATGGAGCAGTGCAAATTGAAGAAATGGCAACGCAACTCGTGGAGAGACTGAGAAACTCAATTTTCAGGCAACGGAGCATGCCAGGCTTCTCACAGTTGCGGTGCCGCGTGGTTTCCTAGTATAAGCTGTTCTGTAATGCGCCTCGGTGAGTCACTTGTTTATTAAGGTGGCACGAAAGGTTGACGAAGCTGCTAATTTTGTTTTTGTGCAGTTAACTGAGCAAGAGCCTGGTACATATGACAAACGCTAGACTAGACTATGCTATGCTATGCTATGCTATGCTATGCTATGCTATGCTATGCTATGCTATGCTATGCTATGCTATGCTAGGGAGGGCCAAATAGATTTGGCTTGGGAAAGAATTTGTAATGAGATGAAGTAGTCTGGATCCAGGTTAAGTTCTTTCGAAACAAAATAAGTGCCTCGGTTTAAATTTCCACCGAAGAAAAGGATGCACCCAATGTTGTCTTTTCCTAATATTGTATTTAATCATCCTACTGCATTAATATATCATTTACTTTACACATATTTCCACCTTAAATACGACTTATTATGTAGTCACCCTACCACATTACATGGTTCGGCTATATACGGTCATCATTAGGTGACTTCTATCTTGCTAAAATTGTTGCACTGTATGTCAAAAATTCGTATCGCGTGTAAACACGATATTTCCTGTAGGTTCTAAACTCTGTACAATATTTCCTGATTAAAATAAATTTACCTTTATTAAAACAAATTAACACCCCAATATTTTCCTAATGGTCGTCGTCCTTTCTTCTCACGCCATCTCAACCGGTCACAACTACTACGATATTATGACAGGATCAGTATTATTATCTTCCGCTGTAGAAGGTAAGTGCATGAAATTGAATAATACAATAATGCATTACGTCGGGCAAACATAAGCTGATGTGAGCAACTAATCAAACATAAGTTGCCTCAATGTGCGCCTGCTAAGCTGGAAACCAGTTGCCTGCTTGAAATCTACGACTTTTCGTAGATATTGTGGTTGCCAGTTTTGTACATTAGTGTAAGTGCTAATGGTGCGATGATGTCTCGACAGGATTCTCGGGTGGTTGTATGAGGTCGCTCCCATCAGTGATGCTGGTGCCATCTAGTAACAGTATTTGGAAGTAACGTTCAGTTCCGATCGAAGACTCGAGATGGAACAGGAAAGGACGTGCCACTCCCCCCTTATCTGGAATATAGGAGACGAACCGAGTTACTAGCTTTGCGAAGGAGGAAGTCAGCAGCTACGCCTTGCTACAGTTTTTTTGTTCTAGAGTGGCGTGTGCGCCTCAATTTGTCGCGCTTTTTACTCCACGGCCAGTGCCGGGGATTTTGTTGGCAAGCAAATGGTGAGAAACATGTCGAAAAGCAGTCATCAATCAGCTCTGCAGGAGATTCGTGGATGGACAACGGAGCACGTTCAGAAAGTCCTCAGAGACGTAAGTTGCGCTAAGTTATAATCTGACAGTTCTATGCGCACGTGCGTTCCCTTGACCCCGATGGCCAATTCGCGGAGGTCGACCTGTGTCATTCGTGACGTCATGTCTGCCTCTTGGAAGGCGCGTTAGGTACTTTTTACGAATGTTATGTCTGGAAAGTTAATGATGGTATTTTTCACGTTGCGTCTTGCACGAGACGGATATTAACATAAGTATATCGTTATGTTTGAACCGAAGAAGGATGAAGTGACAGGAGGCTGGAGGAAACTTCATAATGAGGAGAGTTTCATAACTTGAACGGTTCACCAAATATGATTAGAACCATGAAATCAAGGAAGATGAGATGGGCGGGGCATGTAGTACGCATAGTGGAGAAAGCCAGAAGGAAAGAGACCAGTAGGAAAACTAGACGTTTGCAGGAGGTGATAGTAAAATGTCTTTTAGAGAAATAGGATGGGGGTGGTATGAACTAGATTGATCTGGCTCGGGACAGATACCTGTGTAGGGCTCTTGTGAACTAGGTAAAGAACTTTCGGATTCCATGAAATGTTGGGAAATTCTTGAGTAGCTAAGCGACTGGCAGCTTCCCAACAAGGACTCTGTTAATTTAAACCCGAAGGTTCAACGCCGGAAATAAGAAGGCCGGCCATCATACACTGTCCTGAATCACTTCTCATACTCAACCCATTTTCGGAAGATCCACCTCAATGTTATCTTCCCATCTCCACCGTCGTCCAAGTAGTCGCTTTCGAAAAGGGTTTCCCACCGAAATTCTTCTCCTGACCAGCCTGTTATGATGTCCTACAATAATAGATGATCTGTATAAATCACAAATTTCCTTGTTTGTAATATCCTACATTTTTTTGTCATAATTTCTTGAACAGTTTGTTTCTAATCGCCTGCACTTTAATTTCCCGCCTCAAAGTACAGCACTACGTTCCCACATTTCTTGAAAACAGTGAGCAATATTATTGCAGCAAATTTGTTTCAGGCGCCACTTAAGTCATTGGCTGTTCAGAATTATTCAACCAAGGATAGCTTTGTCGCTTTGCTTTTTACTTAATGTTTAAAATACAGCATTTAAAAAATCTACGAGTGTGAAGGGGGATTAGAACTGAAAAGCTACATTCTGTGCCGACGGCATTCACACAGTTGGTTAAGCTCTGAGGAAGAAGTAAATTGCGTAAGGCGATTTTGCTTGATACACGTCAGCGAGTTGGCTTCTGGCGACTTGTCTTATTGCGCTGAGATATACAGTGACGCAGTCGAACGTCATATCGTACAAGAGCACTTCGTTTCCTGAAGGTGTAATCCACGCTGAACGAGTGGGAACTTAGGAAGATGTTGGTAATGCGGGCGGAAGCTACAGAATTATTGCTGCTGATGAGCCTTCTTATTCCGGCTTATGAACATTTGTCCGCCACTGTTCCAGAGACTGCCTACTTGTTTTCATCTACAGGAAACATGTTATCATGTTACTTTTGGGTTCGATTTCCGACGGTCTGGATGCACAACAGATGTCGGTTCCCGGTATTGCAAAAGGAGCTTGTGCCTCGCGTCTTGGAGGCACCGGCTTCGAATTCTGTTCAGTGGTCGAATTTTTTGGTTATGTAGATTGGAATTGAACCGTGGAATTTGTAATGGACAGAAAGACACTGGGACAAGCCTTCTCCGTGTACTTCGGTCCCCCTAACAGTTTGTATTCCACCAATTGCCCCATGGTCTTTGTCGTCCTACCATCGACCGTATATAATCCCGACACATACAGCATCGTTACATAACAGACTTTAAATGGCAGGCGTTTAGGCCTTGTAAGGGCGAGTCTTGTTGCTGGTGAGCCGATCGCTGGGAGCCTATACTGTAGTAACATGAGTCGCCAGGTGAGTCCATGTAGATCTGAAGTGCGGGGCACGAGACATCCTAACTACACGTGCTTCCTTTGAGTGTGTCTTAACGGTGGCTGCGCAAGTGGGTAATGTGTATTTGGTGACACGTTTACAACATTTCTAGCACGCAAACCAGTTTATATTTTGATAATGGAAGATTGTAAACATCATTTTATGTCTAAATATTACACGTGGATGGATCGAGGCGATTGACCGTGGTTTTTCGGGTTTCGTGACAGAAGTCACCGCTGCATTTACCAGATATCTTACAGAGCAAACAAATACCTGACAAGGAAACCTGCCGAGTGTGTTGTAGCTGGTAAGCTGGAAAGTATGTGTGTGACGTCAGGGCAGGAGGCACGGCTTCCTGCAATAACAACCCTCCCACATGAAATTAGGCCGTGGTCTTTAATTATACCGGCATCCAAACACCATTTGCTTGATGAAAAACTAGAACGAAGATTCCATAACAAGGGCATGCGTTTGAACATGTGGCTAACAAAGCCTCTGTCGCGTAAACCTTTGGGAAACAAAACACAGCCCTTTAAAAGTCGCACGATTTCTTTCTAAGAAAGAAGCCGTATTGGTGTATATTGTTGCAGCACGGCCTGGGGGAGTGCTGCGAGGCGATCAGGAACCGGGTTGTGGACGGTGACTTGTTCTTGGTGAGTATCGGTTCATTTTATTCAGTATACATCAACTAAATAACGGAATATTTCATGTAGAACACTGCCATACCATTAAGACCAATAAACTCATTATACACGGTAAATGTGAATGAGATTTTGATAGTTGTGCTGAGAGGGAAAAACAATAAAGAAATATAAGCTAACACAACAGGATGCACTCCCTGAAGATAGGTAACGACAACTAAAGTTCATGGCACAGGGTCTCCTCTTGTCCAGCTTTTGATTACTTACCTGGTCAAAGTTGTTGCGAAACCTGAGGGCTCACTACCGTCGTGGTGCCTCATTCCGGCTGAGGCACTGGGCATATGTTAAGGTATTTCCACTGCCTGTTGCTTAGATTTTACCGAAGAAACCGACAAATTCTGAAGAAGTTTGATAGACTTCGTAACGAGATCTAACCGACGTGGGGCCAGTATTCAGTAGTTCAGGGCTGGAGGGGCACATTTTGTTTTTCTTTTCCACAGTCACCACATCGGCTGTGTGGTCCACCCGGCCTCCCGTCCAGTGAGTACTGGGGGCTCTTTTTCGGGGGTAAGGCGGCTAGGGTGAAACCACTCACTTGCATCTAATTCCAATGTTGACATTATGTGGAGCCATGCTTTCACGTTGGTCCTTAATTAAGCACCACTCCATGAGGCGTCTAAAGAAGAAATTCGGATCTGAGAGACACTAATTAAGCGAGGAATCATGAGATTTATACTGTTCTTTGGACAGTCAGAGCAAGAGGTGAGTGTGGACTGGACTTACAAATTGGCTAGATAAACGGGGAATGCATACGGAATTTCAGATAGAAAACTTCTTGATAAGTGGTCACGTGCAAGACTGAGAAGGAGATTAGGGGAAGATAATGGATACACGGGTTGTGAGGATTTGAACTGCAGTAGCTCATACGAGTAATAGCTCCCAGTTAGGAGACTCCCCCTTCGCAAGCAAAAGACGAAATGTGCGAGTTGCATGAACACATGGATACGCTCGCGCTTTCTGGGTCTTAAGTGTAAACGTTGGAATGACGGTACTAGGAAACTGGATTAGTTCCCATATTATTATTCTGCATAATACGCAATAAGGAATTAAATATCTCATGAATTTTTACGTCTTATTGTATGTTCCACCGATCCAAGGGGACGGTTGAATTTCTGCCACCAGGAGTAAGGTGCTTAGCGGCAGGGGGCGGAAGTGCAGTCTCTTTGTTTATAGTATTTTTGTCAACAAAAGAAATTGGCCTGAATTTACCAAAAATGTTGGGAGTACTACAACGTATACGTATAACTGAAAGTAAACCCTTAACATGTGAACATTCAAATAACAGAAACCTGATTTGGCTCATCCTGGTCCGTCACACGCAACACCGTCCAGTGTGATGTATTTTTTTAGTTCATCACACTGGACGGTGTTGCGTGTCATTTTATAAACGATTCGCCACAGATTATGCATTTATGTAATATATTGTCGAAATGGAAAAATTAAATATTTATTTTGGTATATTGTGAAACTAAGCCATAGCTTAAGCGGTTAGTCGCTGGCTTCCCACCGCGGCGGCCCGGGTTCGATCCCGGGTCTGGTCAAGTGGGATTTGTGGTGGACGAATTGTCGCTTGGGCGGGTTTTCTCAGAGTACTTCCGTTTCCCCTGCCGCCAATCTTCATTCCACAAAATTCTACATCATCACAATAGGCCAGTCAGTGGCCACCGTGCCGAGTGGACCCAGTTGGACTCCCCCCCACCCCACTAAGCAAAATTTTTAAATTTAAGCATATAGGTGGTATTAAGGCGCTGCGTCCAGGAAATTTACCACTTAATTCGTTTCGGAGAATATACGAAAGTTGTAAGATGTGAGGTTTTCACGGCGGTGACTATGAAGAAAGCAGTCTTCTGGGATTTGGCACCGAGTTTCGGAGGAACGTATCGGCTCAATCTTCAGGTTCTCACGGTCTCTTCGCTTGCGGATTTCTTATTTTTCCTTCTACCCTGAAGATGGAGGCGATACGTTCCTCAGAAACGTCGGTTAACACCACATGTACGCGGTGCCACATCCCACAAGACTGCTTTCTTTATACTAAAGTTGTATTACAACTGGCAGCATTGACTCCACTGTCTCTTGGATAGTTTGTCTGTCTTCAATGGCACGGAGCATGCTTTCTCAATAATTTCTTTATTTAACTGGAATTTTTTTTTTGTTCCAGGAATTAACTGAAGGGCAATTGGCTTTGTGGAAGAGAGATCTGAAAGTAGTTAATATCAAGTAAGTGTTGAGGTACAGTCACAGAGAGCTCTCCAACGCGTTGTCAGATTGGCCGAGCGGTCCAAGGCGCCAGACTTAAGTTCTGGTTCCCGAAAGGGAGCGTGGGTTCGAACCCCACATCTGACAGTACTTTTTTTTTCTAAGCCCATGTTGCAGAATAAGAAATGAAAGTTTTTGGACTTTCTTTTCCGAAAGTCGAAAAGGGACAAATAGGACCGTAAATTTAGAAGGAATTAGCAATTAACGAGGTTTGCTGCCAGGTGGCAGCACGGCCCCTAGCGATGCGGCAGTCGGAAAACTTCGGAACTATAGAGCTATAGAGAGTCGTAACGGCCGTAACCGGTCGTGACTCGAGCTTATGGTTGGTATGTAAAAGAGAAGTAACCAATATGAGCATTTACTTTGGAAACACACATCATCGAATAAGGATTGGCAGAATACACTTGTAAAATTGTCGGATGTTTCTCGTTCGGCATTGTATTCGACCAAGAAGACGGAGGCTGTACTTTTCTACGAAATATTGGTTAACATTTACCGGGCTATAGAATGACACAGATCAGAAGAGAGTACTGTGATTGAAATGTCGAATTCACCTATTGCTTAGAAAGTGTATGTTGGAAGGTGGTGGTTATAATATTAAGAAGATACGCAAGTTTTGGTTCATTGTGCCTGGAGGATCTACTTCTGAATGAGCAAAAATCCCAGCAGACGCCCAGAATTGAGTTCAACTACTCAAATTTATACCCTTAATGACATAATGCCCCCATTCTTAATCTTAATTATGATTAGGCAGAGCTTATTATTGAACCTCCCATGACTTCGAGATGGACCATACAGAGTCAGTTGTATGCGTTGCCAGCAGTGACCCTCCCTGCAAACCCCCCAATTTTTTCCGTTTATTAGAACCTCCCTTCTTGGACATGTCCTCAGCAACATTTACTGGCACTCAGGTTGACTACTGAATAATACAGTAAAGTAAAATTTAACAATAGTGAAACCTTCTAGGTGAAGCAGCAACCCAAAAGTTGATTTAAAAATTAATATTTTGAAGACTTGCTGTATTGCCATCATCAGGGACAGTGTAATGCAAGCACCTCCCCCCCCTCCAGATTAATGCACTGGAAGGGCCAAGTGAGGTTGAATGACATTGTTCTCCAGGTTAAGCAACAGGTTACCAGGATATGATAACTCCTCAATTTGAATCTGTTCTGCCAGGCAGGACATCAGCAAGGACAGCAGTCACTCATCTGATAGAAAGTGAGGAAGAACGTTCATTTTACTTAATTAATATTGATATGGTCGATCACCTGAGAATATTTCAGTGCATACATTTGTTGTGAAAGCCTCGAAACTCACAAAATTTAAGAGATTTACAGTCGGTAAAAGTGAACAATAATTTAATGAATTTCATGAAAAAAAAATATTTGTATAACAATTTATAATCAGCCAAAACATAAGATTGGTGATGTGGTAATTGAAGTGTACTGACTCATGCTTGCAGGAAGCTGGCACGCTTTATACAAGATGTGATTGAACAGCCCAAGAGATATCTACAGGCAGACAGCTTCACGTGAGTACACATATTTTGTCACCCCCATTCCTATGCCAAAATTGATTTCTCTTTGCAAAGTCACAATATCAAATTCTTTGACTTCTTCTGACATAATCTGGGCAGTGGATTTCCTCAGTTCCGCCACACAGATGTTTGAAAACAGTCTTAAAATAGTCCATGACCACTTCCCATACAGTTATAAACTCTCAGCAGCAAAATGTGCTTGTTTTCAGAGTGGGTCATAACAACGCAGCAGCAGCAAGCATGCCCTCTGGTGTGGTTGACAGCCTGGATGTTCACCAGGCATGCAGTGACTCAGGGACAAGGACAAGGTCTATCAGCGACTCATGGGACACAGACTTCAGTGATGATGAGGAAGCCAGTAAGGTGAGATAATATTGAAATGGATCTTCAAGAAACTCTGCCTGGGACTGTTGTCCAGTAGACAGTAAAGGTTATCAGATGAACCTCCTTGTGCTTGCACTGTTAGAGTACTTTGATGCAGCATAATCTGCTGAGACCAATTTAAAAAATGAAACATAAATTGACTTAATCTGAATTCTGGTGGTGTCAATTTGCTCACACCAGACATGCCATAGTGGTTATGCTGCCATGAAATGATCTCCAGGGCATCATTTAGAAAGCAGCAAGCATCAGGTTGGCAGCAAGATGGAGGAGACTTTATGAGATACATCCACCGAGAATATGTGGAAGTTGTCCTCAGCCTTTCTGCCATGGGCTCCTGACATGTTAAGCTGGCATTGTTTTCTAGTTGCAGGCTTCCAGTCTGGCCAGCCCAGTTACTGCAGAAGGGGAGACTGAGGTGGAGTATTGTAACAGTGAGATTCTGCAGAAGCCTCCTATACCAGTACGTCCTCCAGCACTTGCTCTAAAACCAACGTTCACAGCATCGGCACCTAGCGATAGCCATAACCTACCAAAGCCACCAGTACCACCGTAAGTTGTTGTGGAGACCCTCACAATTGGAAGTTTTACAGTTGTATTGCCGATCCCATGACAATGGTTGCATGTAGTTGCTTGAATCTTGCTGAAAATGCACAAACATTGTAAAATATTGTGTTATCACTGAGTTTCAACACACACAAATATTGCAGTGTTGGGAGAGTGCTATGGCTATCTCCAATTGTATCCTTACTTATGTAACATCTGTAGTTGAAATGGCACCATTCAAAAACATAAGATATCCTCACTCACTAAATAACCAGTCATCTTTTGTACTTTGGTCACTAGTGTTTCTGACACTCAAACATCGATTGGGGTGATCAAAACATTATGTTTGATGTCAAGGATTCAGGCTAGGTGCCTTCTGTTACAGGGAGAGTGGCTGTTATGGACACGTCAAGTCACTGGTCAGCACCCTCAACGTCCCTGAAAACACTGACCAGGTACTAACTGCATGTTGAGTGGTCACTGTATAGGCGCATTACCCCCATGGACTGCATTGAACTGTGGCAAGAAGCCACAACTGTCTCTCATGGAATCATTAATAGCTATCACTGTTTTTATATCAGCTGGTGTCTGCTGGTGTGCATACCAGCAAACTTGTCAGAAGTAAAAATCTGCAAGTACATAATGCAGGGTTCAGCAAAGAGAATACTGGGATTTCAGGCACTTGTAGCAAAAAAAAGTATGAGGATATTGTTTGCAGTATTGTGTTCATCAACTAAAACAGTTTTTTACACACAAGTGGAAAAGTTGATGTAATTAAAGTCAGCTCAGGTCTGTTGTTTGTGACCTTCAACCTGTTAAAGACAGAACTGAAGCTTATATGATAAAGTTGTTCCTGTGCTTTATTAATTAAGCACCACGCCATGAAGACATGGTGGAGTGAAAGTATAGCTCCACCATTCTTGACCTTGGCACTGGGTGCAGGTGAGTGGCCAGCTACGTGCCCAGGCCGAATTATTCTTACTCTTATAAACTAGGAGCAAACTACTGTAGAACCTTGCATGAAAAAGGAGGAGTATGTATCTATCTATGCACAAGCTTGAAATTTATAAATATAGACCTAAAAAAATATTGTAAAGAAAATATTTTGAGGTATGTGCTGTTAAGTTAAAGCTGAGCTCCAACAGACTTTGTATAGATAGACTTGAAAGGATTCTGACGATGGTGTATACTGTACTTCTTTTGGCCGACTCGTTGACAATACGGACGACTTGTTTGCTTTCCATGCAATACGGACAATTCTTCTTAATGACGAGGCAGCATTACACAATTCATTAATAGCTACACCATGGGCCTCTCTTAAAATCTTCTATATAAAGTAATATCAAATTTCCCTATTGTCTATGGAAACGCACACAAAGTATATCTAACGACTGATTCAATGTTTTTGAAAACATCATTAATATTTTATCTTGTTATAATACTTCCAATTTTTAATTTTTATATAATCTGAACTTTTGTATTTTTACATAAGCAATTTTAAAATTATACGATTAATAGTGTTATATCCATTTTATGATTGCAGTTAAATGGTAGATTTTTGTTGATATGTATTTGCCTGATGATGGCCGATAGTGGCCGAAACATGTAGCAAAGCCACAGCTGTACGCTGACTTTGATGTTTTACTATTTGCTGTGTTGTGACGGTTCATTAAAGAGTTGTAAAACTAGATACAATACTTAGAAATATATATACCTCAACACAAGAATATATTATTTGTGGGGATATTAATATAAATTACCTTCTTGATAGTGAAAAGAAAAACAAGTTAGATACCTTATTGAGAACTTATAATTTAATAAGTACGATAAATTTTCCCACCAGAGTTCAAGGAAATTCTGCTACAGCCACTGATAATATTTCATCGATATTACTAGAAGGGAAAATTATTCTATAAGGCCTATAATAAATGGATTGTCTGATCATGATGCACAATCCATAACATTTAAAACAATAAACATGAGAACACATGCTAAACAATTTAAAATAATAAGGAAAATAAACACACAATGAATGAGTTTTTAATTAAACTAAGTTATGAAACATGGGACTCAGCATTTTCTAATGATTATGTTAATGTAATGTTTAACTCATTTTTAGACACTTGAAAATTTACTATTCTAGTTTTCCAAAAAGAAAATTAAAATTTCAAATAAAATAAGTTATTGGATTGCTATAGGAATAATAACGTCCAGTAAACATAAAAGAGTACTCTATATGGCATATAGAAACAGTAATAATTCAGAATTAAGAAACTATTATAAAAAATACTGTAAAATTTTATCTGAGGTCATTAACCTTTAAGTGCCGAAGTGCTCCGTTTGTGCCAGTGGTGAGTAAGGTCGTCGTGGCCAAAGTGTCCCGTTTTGGACAGTCGGGCATTTAAACTCTGCTAGTGGAAGTGCGCGTACACGCCGCTAGTAGAAACGCATGCACAGTCCTAAATATTTATTTTTAAATGTAGTAATTACCAGACAGACTTGAGTAAAACCCTAATAGAGGAATTAAAATAATATCTAAATGAACAACAGCAAATAAAAATATACGTATGAGTTATGCCAAAACTTATCCACGATCCAGTTAATTTTATTGCAGATTCTGCAGATAGGTATGTTAGAAATATATTGTAAAATTTGATGTACATACCTTTTTTGTTGTTACCTGCTTGATGTATATATAGGCTGAAATTATACTACAGTATTCAATTTCACTACGAACGCACACAAAACAGATCACACTCTGTATCTCAGCCAGGATGCAGCTGTCTGTTCATTCAAATAGAAGGGGCAATAATCTTTTGCAGCTCTAACAGAAGATCTTAGCACTGAAGAAGGGACCCCTCTAGCTTTCTCTTGAATAGCCATGCTTTCATTCTTTTGTCCTTCAGTCAAAAGATTCGAAAATCCGAAGAGTGTAAGCAGGGCTAGCAGAAGACCAAATGATTTTATTGCTTCCATCTGTTTTATGACACCAGGGACTGCTAAAATTTGTCAAGTGTTACAAACAGAAATGAGTTTATAATGCAGAACAACTCTGTGAAGAACTGGGAAACCATTTTTGCAGTACGCATCAAAATTAAAACACAGAAAATTGAAAATAGAGTATAACACTTTGTATTAAAAATTTCAAATCTTCCGTTATAATATGCGACACTATGTTTTTGTTGATATAAACAAAGTTAATTCCATCCATTTATCATAAAAATTGAGCTAGATACAGCATTTTTAAACACAAGCGCCTAACAGGAACGGACATTTAAACGCAGAGTAGCAATGGGCATTTAAACGAACACCAGCAGCGGGCATTTAAATAAACTCCGGTCAGCTCAAGCTTACCACTACTTCGAAGTCCAGCGTTTAAAGGTTAAGGAAGCTAAAAAACTAAAATATGATAACAAAATTCAAAATTCCAAAAATAAAAATAAAACCATATGGGATATAGTAAAATTAGAAACTAATAAGGGGCCATATAATGAAAAAATATGCACATTAAAGGTGGTATTAGAAAAAGCTATGAGCATTCAATTGATGAGCACTTAAATAACAATAACATTTTAGTGGAAGAACAATTTGGTTTTAGAACAAAATATTCAATAGATGAGGCCAAATACAAGTTAGTGAATGAAATCTGTAAGACCTTAAACAGCAAAAACTTAATGGGAGGCATTTTTTGTGACCTTGAAAAGGCCTTTGATTGTGTTAATCATGAGGTTCTGTTGTCAGAATTGGAGTTCTACGGGATAAAAGGTAAAGCTAAACTATGGCATGAATCGTATTTCAGAAATAGATATAAAAGGATTTTAATTACAAATATAAATCTTAATCTCAATGAATTTTTGACATGGGGCAAAATTATACATGGTGTCCTACAAGGTTCGATTCTGGGTCCATTGTTATTTCTCATTTATATAAACGATTTACCCAAAACTATAAATGATAAAAATGTACCTATATTATTTACAGATGACACTAGTTTGTTAGTTAAAAGTTTGAACTATGATGATCTCTGTGTAAATATAAACAATGCTTTTCATAGTATAAATGAGTGGTTCAAAGTAAACCAACTTTCTATAACTTTTAACAAAACTCACTACATTCAATTTACAGCTAGAAATAATAATCCTAAATCTGAAATAAGAATTGTATATGATAAAAAAACAAATTACATCTGTATCCAATATTAAATATCTGGAATATTCAGTGATAACATAATGAGCTGGAAATACCACATTGAGTATATTAGTTCTAAACTAAGTGCAGTCTGCTACATAATAAGATCGCTTAAACCATACACGTCCATAAATACCTTAAAAATGGTTTATCACTCTTATTTTAATGCTATTATAAATTATGGTTTACCCTTTTGGGGAACTCACCCCAAAGTATAAACATTTTTAGAATGCAAAAGAATATAATTAGAATTATGTTGGGATGCAGAAGGAGGGATTTGTGCAGGAACTTATTTAGAGAATTAGAAATCTTACCTCTGGCATCTCAGTACATATACTATCTCTTATGCTCTTTGAGATAAAAAACAGAAACAAATTCATAGTAAATTCAGAGATTCATAGAATAAATACCAGACAGCAAAATAATCTCCATCAGCCTCTTGTAAATTTGAGTAAATACCAAAAGGGAGTTTATTGTTTAGGAACAAAGGTCTATAATAATCTACCACAACATATTAAGGATATATCGAGTGACACTAAGAGTTTTGAGGTGCAATTGAAACAGTTTTTACAATTACATTCTTTTTATTCTTTACAGGAATATTTCCGTTATAAATCTTTTTAAGATGCGAGTAGTTGAGTTGCTTTACAGTTAAAAGAAGACAAGATTGTCAGTCTGTGTTCTGGGTTTTAGTTGCGTATTTTAGATATACACAATCTTTATATCACTGTATACTAGTCTTTATTTCAATTTATTATACTATTAATATATGTTATACAAAACTCATTAATGACATTGTGTTTTAACTATTGAATTTTTAATTAATAGACTTGTATAAAACTGTACAAATTGTATAAGGTTTGCCATTACTTTTACTACTAAAATTAACTTATTTATTATATTGTATATGTTTATCAGTATTTTATTACAAATGTATATGCCATTGGATGACGACTATAATTCTTAGTTGTGACTGTAACTAGGACAATTTCCACATCCTCAGGAGAATGTATTCTTGACAGGATTTATGGAAGGTGAATAAATGAAATGAAATTATCCCAAGGAAAGGGCAACCAGTATCCATTGGATAGGGGGCTGGGAGGGTCCCAGAGCCAGTTGGATGCTGTGGCATACAGAAAAAGTCTCTTACCCCTGTCGAGAACTGAACTCCAGCCATGCAACCCATAGTCTGTCACTACAATGACTGAGCTATGCCAGTTTCCCACCAGTGCTCATAGGATAGATTTAATAAGCTTATCTGTGGCAGTTTGAGTACTCCCAGTACAGATGTAATGGGACTGCATCACACTGCAATGAAATGAAGACTTTCCTCTGTTACAGTTTGATGAAGAAGATTATGAGAGTCTGGACAAAGGGGTGCATGCTCCCAACATAGATGCTTTGGCAGCACAGCTGAAAAAGTCGCTTGAGGAGCGAGTACTGGCTGCAGCTGTCCCACGCCCCATGCCCAGTGCTCAGGCAAAGAGGCGAACGCTGGAGACCATTCCCCCACGGAGTAGGCCAGTCACAAAGATCCCCCAGCATCCGTCAACATTGCCACTACATGCCAACAAGTCGCAGGCTGTCCAGGGACACCACAGTGAGGAATGTAACTCAGATGAATATGAGTCTGTCAAGGAGAATGTGAGTGTGCTGCTTACTCAGTGTGGCCTACCACACAGGATGAAGTCTTGAAGCATGTTGGAAACACCATTAACAAAGAAAATTAGGTTTATGATGGAATTAGGATGAGAATAAATTTAAAAATGGCTGCCATCTGACTGGATAAACCTCAGTGCTGTACTGGACACTGTGGAGAAGAAAAAATCTCTTGTCTCTGCCAGCAATTGAAATCAGATTCCTTGGTTGGCCAGCCCCTAGGCATAGTTGCTATTGTATTTAATGTGCTATCCCATATGGCGCTCACATGTTGTGGGGGAGGGGGGTAGGTAGTTGAGAGGATGTTCACGCGAGGTGCACTGGACAGCTTGGGAGTGAAAACAGTGTGAGTAATTGTGCTGCAGTTCATGTGGAGGCTGTGAGGGAAACCTAGTCACTCATTGCAGGAGAAACCAGCCCAGTTGCTACCTGGCGATGGAACTGAGTACTACCTTCAGCCAGTGGGGCAGCCCGCAGACCCGAGGACTGGGGGCCCTCCGCCACTGCCTGCCAAACCCTGGAGCAAACCTGCTGATGCATCCCTGCCATCCATAAAGCCTCCATCACCTCCAAGGAGAAAATCGGTAAGAGAATTCTTTATTAGGCAGTGAATTATAAGTACAGCACATATTTTCCCTGAGAAACAGTTGTATCAGCCATGACCACAGCCTAGAAATCAGATTTTCGTGAAAGGAAGGCTGCAAAAATGGATGGCATTCAGACTCATGCTGACACTGTTAACCATGAGTGTCCTGATGAATCACACTCAGATGAGAGGAGTGTCAAGTTTTCAGAGTGTAAGATTCATGCCTTAATTTGTAGAAATGTGATCAAGCAAATTAGCTTGAAGTTGCAATACTTCTGACTCATATGTTGGAGGTGACCAGTTTGAATATTACTGGGTCATCAACCTAGATTGTTCATGGTTTTTCTCAGTTTCTTCAGGCAGATGCCAGCCTAGTGCCTTCAGTTAGGTCATAGCAGCTTCCTTGCAGATCCATTATGATCTGTTAATCACTAAGCATCCTACCATTTGAAGCTGTGCACTCTGGTTTAGAGACAATGTCATTAAGTAAACTGTACATAAATAAACAATAAGTGAAAGTGTGTCTGTGATTTCTGTGGCTGCTGATGGTGTTACATGAACATTGAGCCTGTGCGATCTGTTGATGCTCGTTCATTACGTGAAAATGATCTCAATTTCAGCTGACTTATATACAAACCAGAAATTGGCACTGAACAGATTAGTGTTGCCACAGATGATTTTCTACAAAATATGGAATGGTTGTGTAAAATAGAAACATTGAATAGATTTGGGAAGTGGTTCTACTCCATGGAGTACAGTGCTCCTTCCCACTTGCTGTTCAAGACGCTTTTTAGAACCCAGAGATGCACTACATGTTTACAAGATCCTGTCACTGGACCTTATCCTTAGCCAATGGAATCTGATCCTCATCTTCAAACCCCATAATTTTAAGACCCGTTTCAATATCATTCATTCATTCATTCATTTCCTTTATTTTCCATATATCCATACAGGCAAAAATCCTAGGATGTGGAAATAGTCCATTTGATTATAGATGTATACATGTAATGGATTACATAAGGCTTCTGTCTTACATTCTTCTGTCTATGTCTGTATCTCCCAAAAGATCTCTTCCTCGAGATTTTCTGACCAATTTTTATATTCTTCCTTTCACCTTCTCTTTCTCAGGTTTGAATTTTCTCCTCAGCACCCCCTGCTTTTTCCTATTCATGTTGGTTACTGTTTGAAATTATTTACATTGCAGCATCTGTGTATCTAGCAGGAGTTTCATTGACCACTTTATGTGATAGTGAAACAAATTCTTGTACTTTGACTTGGACAAACTTTAAACCAGCCAATCACATTACACTGGGTGGGGGTGAATTGTCAGTCCAACACTTATGCAGGAAGAAACTATTAGCATTAAAATGGATTTTGTGGACTGGCTTAGGATGTTAGCAATGTTTTGGTTCCCAAACAACAGAGTTTTGTAGACAGTCAGCTGCTGAAGTTCAGTCAGTTGGGCAGATTGTTTGTTAACCTCATTTACAGCTGAATGCCAGTCAAAGGGTTGAGTGCTGACATATGTGAGAACTGAGAAATATGTGTACAATTTTTTTTGGTAAGCATAAGCAAAAGGGCCAGTTGGGTGTCCTACATGTGCTTTGGAGGAAGATATTAATATGGATTGTAAAGAAATAGGATACGAATGCATTAACTGGATTGATGTGGCTAAGGTTAGGGTCCAAGGGCAGGCTCTTGTGAGCACGGTTATGAACCTTCAGGTTCCAAAAAATGCAGGGATTTGCTGTCCAGCTGAGTGACCATCAGTTTCTCAAGGACTTTGCTGTATGGACTTGGTTGGTTAGGACTGTCAAGCTACATCTGAAAACTTAGGAAATATGGGCACAATGAGTGTCAGACATTCATAAGCCAATTTTATGATCTTTTTTTTTTTTTCAAGGATGACAGTTCATGCAGTCCTGGAAACTCAGGGGATGGTGTAACAGGACGGTTAGGCGAATTCTTCAGAAAGCTCCGGAGCCCAGCCATCAGCAGCTCACAAGATTCCAGAGGTTGGTATTTTATTTATTGTAATGGGGTAACTGCTGACAGAGATTTTGGTTACCAGTCACATAGCCTTGTTGTATCTCAGGATTACAAAACAGACACAGAGCTCACTGAATAGTTATCTTCTTTCCTGTTACGTTTTTCTAAGTACCGTTTAAACTAGAAATGTTCCATGTTTAAAATAGATCTCTAATTATGTATATACCAATTCAATTTTAAGAATGGGTTGTTTTCAAGAAAAGATTTTTGATTTGAACTTCCTGCAGGAGAGGGATTGTGTCTGAATTAGTGCCGTATTTGCCCAGCAGTGTTGCTGCAGACATCTGACAGCAAATTGTGATGAGTATATTCAGAGGTGAAACATGGACTTTGTGGAAAGAACATATAATACTATATTGCGATTTCATGAACATCTAGAATGAATGAGGGAAAATAATGGTTGTATGTTTATTTATTTATGATTTATTTAATGGCTCTGTCAGTAGCTCAGTTTGTGTATGTAGTATCAAATGATAGGATGATAAGTGAAGAATGATGAATTAGAACAGATACAGAAGGAAGTGGTGCTCCTGTCCTGTCATTTGCCTGGGTAGTCTGAGGAGATCCACAGAATGCCTCACTCAGGTTCGCCAGTCTTCCAGCCGAGATTCGAACTGGTCACCCCCCCCCCNCATAAGCCTTGAGCAGTGCTGCTTGAATGAGAAGCACCAAGTCACTGAAGGGCACCTGGCACCAGGTGGACCATGAGGGAAGGTGGGGACACTGAGATGGTTGGATGTAGCCCTGCCCCATGTTTAGTGCTGTGAAGGCTGTCCTGCCCCTCATACTTCAGAGCCCTCTGCTGGTGGGGACAAGCATGTGTACAGTACCGCTGAGTTGAATGAAAATGAGAATTGTGTCAGTACAGTGTTACTGTTCCAGGAGGAGTGACGTTCCAACCGTTCTGCTTGTTGTGTCATCATTCCTCACTCTGATATGTATGAGCATGTAGATTTTTCAACTGTCCTTTTGTTAATAAAAGCAAGAAACTTTCTCACTTTAGGTATTTTGCCCTTCTTTCTGATTCTTAGTTTTTGGAAGTGGCTCCTAGATTTGTAACAAATATATGCAGGCCTCATGATGGCAATACGAGTACATGCATGACAGGAGATGCTGATAACTCCTTAATGTGAGCCTGCAGGAGTGGGATGCACTCTGTGCTGTGTGACTTGTGCAGCCTCTGTGGATACACAGTGAATTCTTGCTCCCAGTGTATTCTCTCTACCATAGTCTACTTAGCATCGGTTCTCATGACGTAACGTGCAGCAGTCCCCCCCCCCTTGTGCTATAGCATCTGTCCCCCACATGTGGCCTCCTGCTGTGCTCCTCTCTGTGTTGTTTTGCAGTAGCAGCACATCGGCCTTCATACAGCACAGCCCCATACTGAGGGCTCGCCCTGCGCACATGAGAGGTGTGCCATTAAGGTGTATGGGTGGCGTGGAGGCAAATGTCTCCCACATGTGGCCTCCTGCTGTGCTCCTCTTTGTGTTGTTTTGCAGTAACAGCACATCAGCCTTCATACAGCACAGCCCCATACTGAGGGCTCGCCCTGCGCACATGAGAGTTGTGCCATTAAGGTGTATGGGTGGCGTGGAGGCAAATCTCTCCCACATGTGGCCTCCTGCCGTGCTCCTCTCTGTGTTGTTTTGCAGTAGCAGCACATCGGCCTTCATACAGAACGGCCCTGATAACTGATGGCTCGGCTTGTGCACATAAGAGTTGTGCCATTCGGTTGTATCGGTGATATGGATCCCCCACCAGAGAGCACCCCTGTCTTCCTCATACCCATGTTAGGGCTGTCCTTCCTTTGTTACTGTCCAAGCATACCTACTGCACCTCCCCCTCCTTGGCCACTTTTATCTTGGGTTTCAGATATCTATTGCTCCTTTCTTCTGTTGGTATGTTCTCCTGCCTACATCCATATCACTTTCCCACACTCACTTGCTGAACTTTCTCTTCATCCCTGAGTGTGGTGGCAATACATTCCTCTGAAATGTCAGTGAACCATTAATCAGATTTTGTGAAATTGATGTGTAATGTCAGTGTGACATTTTGATTTGCAGCCATATTGAGTGATGAAGCTTGCATTATCTAAAGCCATAAATGGGGTTTTCAATGTATCATATTGAGTATTTCAGAGACTTTGTTGTAATGATATTTTACTTGTTATTATGTTCTTGGAATATGGAATTTACTCACATTCTGTAATATATTTTCTATTTTGCTGAAATGTCACTGCAAAGTGGCGACAGGTAAACTTAACAACCTACATTTAATGCCATCGGAAAGTCTCTGTACTGTGTTATGGAATACTACTGAATTTTTCAAAGCCTCAATGACCTTCAGAGCTCGTATCCTGCAAGATGGAAACGTGATAATTTGTACTGTGGTGTAAAGCTGTTGTCTGAGAGACATGTGTCCTTCTGAAGTGTTAACTGGAAACGTGAATGGAATTTTCTTGTGTTCATAATTCTTCAATCAAGAAGGTTGCTTGTTATGTGGGAGAACATGTTATGATGGATGTCGTTATCAGTGGGCTGCCAGCTGTTCCCATCAGTTGTTGCAAGTGTCTGGTGTTGTGGGAAGATGAGCCAGGGAGGGAGTAGGGCATGACTGAGGGTGACGTGATGAGCACTGTGTTGTGAGCGGTGTGCGTGTGAAGTGGGCAGAGTTGTGTTGCAGATGTTAGATCCCAGATTCTGCCTTCATCCATAATTGAGTCAGGGTGCAAGTGTTGTGATATCAGTGAAGTAGGTAGAGTCACTGACTTATTATGAGCTGTGATGTCATTACGTTATGCAGAAACTGTTTTGGTTTTGTGTGGCTGTGAAACACGGACTCGTGCTTTGACAGAAGAGGATGAACTGCAAGTGTATCGAACTGAAGAGCTTATGGAATGAGAGAGAAACTTTGTGATATCTCCTGGTAACTTGTCATTGCTATTGTTGTGAGGTTGACGAGGTTGCGGCAGGGGGATATCATATAAAATGTTAGAAAGTGCGTTGAGGGAGAATGTCAGAATGCACTATGGGATCGCGGACTGGGGGAGGGGTCTTTGGTATTAGCAGTATTGAGCCTTGTGGTATTAGTCAGCTCCCATTGCAACAGATTCTGTTCTGCTTTCCAGACACAAAAATGTTTCATGTCAGTGTTACTGCTTTGCATGAACGTTCAACAGGGATATAATTTCAATGCATCTACACATTTAATCTCTCAGACTCCTCAGTAGATTTTATGATACTTGGTATTGGCAGTGTATATTAAAAGTGGCGCAAATTATATATTGGTTTGGTATAACAACTTTACATGAAGCTCAAAACAGTCGAACATAGTTAAAGCTACACCCTTCTGATGTGATGCTGTGTAGTGTGGTAAGTCATTTTAACGTTTCAGAGGAACCTGCTGCCTCCATCTTCAGGGTACCAGACTGGGACATCAGTCCCAGTGTTCCCTCTTTCTGTATCCATACCACCTCACTTTGTTCGCACCCTCCAGTTACGCTTCTGCCCTGAAGACAGAGACAAACAGGCTTCTCCAGAAACACTGTAGTTTGGACGCCTCACATCCTATGAGACAGCGATCTTTATAGTCACCAACGCAATCTCAGAGCTCAGAAAGTTGATGTGATTTATTAATTGAATAAATAATTTGTTTACAGAAATCTTGTATTTGATATATTCTTGATATGGAGAGCATCAAACAGAATGCAGTAACATAATTATTTCCTTCTATGTGCAATGTTGTCAATGGTAGAATGTGCCCACTGTGTTAATTTGTGTTCCCTCTGACATGTGACCTCTGGGGTCATGACCTTCATTCTGGCAGCTGTGAGGTCAGCCATTCATCTTGTTGACCCCAATCAAGAGACAGGGAAACCACTATATAAGCATCACAGTACTTATTCTGCATGTTCTCAAGCTCTTAGTTTCAAATCTCTGGCACTGTTGGCTATGGACTTCATGCTTTTCCCCAGTAGCAAAACCCCATCACTTTCAGTGATGTTATGACTTTGATAGCAAATACAGCAGAATATGAAATGAGCCATGGAAATTGCAATGTTCTGAGTCCCATCCTGCCTGCAAATTGCATGTAGTTGCATCAACTGTGGTTCTAGTTTCAGGATTCAATACTAAGTAGTCAGGTCTTATAACATAAATGATCTGTCATGTATACTGCTAATACCAAAGCATACCATTGGACATGATCTGAGCCAGCTGAGTCCATTCACATCCTCACACTCTTATTTATAGGCGGATAGTTTCCAAGAGGCATCGCTACCAAATTTTGTATTTACCTATTGCTTCCACATGTAGCACACTGTCACTGAGGTAAAACCACCTGGTGCATTTGAGTGGGGGTAGCACATCCTGCTTCACTGGTATTCTGGGTGTGTGTGGATAGTGACTGTACTATGTGGCATGAGAATGGGCCACACTGTTAGGGTCACCCCTGCGCAGCACCTGCCCCGGGTGGGGCGTGGGTCATTATGTGCTTTTATGTGCGAGTTGCTGGGCCTCTGGCCCAGAACCTGCTGCAGCGACTCTGCAGTGAGATGGCTGATGTTGCTGTCGGCATGAAGAGACGCCTCCTGTACCCTCTGCGGAGACTGCTGTCACGCTATGATTATGTACTGGCACCAGAGTGCAGCACTGCGGCTCAAGGTAACATAACAAGTTACTAGGATTTGGGGAAACTACAGAATTGGTGAGGATTCTGCAAGAAGTGACCGTGAACTGCTTCGAGGTTTGAAGTAACAGAAAACCGATGATCTGGGTTATGAATTGGTAATGACTGTACAGGAAGTGGCCATGGCCTGTTTTACAGTCCTATCCAAACATCTGACTCAGGGAACTGAAGAGAGCCATTGCATGGATTATGAATTTATGAAGACTGTTCAGGCAGTGGTCATTTTAAATGTACCCCCATAATATTAAGTCACTTTGTGTGTTTATGGAAGATGGTAAACAGCCTAAAGTTCTTGCATTTCTTCTTAGTGCTGGGGGAGGGGTCATGTATTTAATCTCCAGAAGTAAATCAAACCGAATTAAGTGTTATACGTATTATCTACTTATGTTAAGTGACTGTCATTTTGGTCCTTGTGAATCTTTGTGTATCTCTTATTAAGATATTTACCTTATATGTAAAAAGAAATTTTCATATTTTTAATTTTTTATACATATTCTTCATTTTGTTACTGGACACGATGACTACTATGGTCTAGATGTTTTTGGTATTTGAGAAGTTAAGTGGAACATCTCAACAGATTAAAGTAAATGCTGGTGCTTCCTCAACAGAGTAAAGGTAAAGTTGTCCTGTGCTTCATTAAGCAACATGCTATGAAAGTGAGTGGGGAATGGAAGTATAGATTAATGCATTATTAAGTAGATGGGGTGAGGGGTCAGCTTCACACCTCAGCTGCTTTGTCCCTGGGAAATGGACACCATCACCCATTCAGCAACAGTTGTAATTATAGGGTAAATGTACCCAGTTTTGTGACATACCTCATTATGTGATACGTTATCTAAATTTTCCAAAAAATTAGGTATATGTTCCAAAGCTATCCTTGACAGTCCTCCACAGAGGCCTCCACATGGGGCAGAATTAGAGCAGTGTAAGTGAAGGGAAGTGTGTCATGAAGTCATGTGGGTTTGTTTCACATTACTACAGAAGTGTTTTAACAGGAGATAGCATCTTTAGAGCAACACAAACAAAACATAAGGAAAGTATGTTGAGTGTAGCATTGTGTGGGATGCATGTATTTCAGTCACACAGTGGGGGGGTCTCCTGGAAACCTGTCTCCCACAGAACTGACAGTCTGTCCCTCAGTTCATACTTGTCAGAGGTACCATGTCCACCTTCATGCCGCAGCAGGCCAATGCTATTCGGAGGGTAGCAACATTTAATGTGTCTTCACGTAGGGAGAAGAGCTTATCTGCATCTATCTGTTATACGACTGCACCACCACGCATGTTCACAAGTAAGTTGCATTAGTTGATTAGCATGGACAAGTGTCAGTAGATGTCACCACATACTACAATGAAGCAAAATAAAGTTGTAATATTTAGAAGTGACAGTCCAGGAAAAGCTGCGCAGTGGATAGGCAGGTCCATTTGTGAAAGTTGAGGGGGGTTGTGATTAGTCATTCGTTTGTTTTCAGTCCAAGCAGACGTCTGAAGTTCAGTTAAAAGCTATATGTATAATATAAACTCCATCATAAATGCAACACTTTATTGTAGTTCTTGTCCCCCCTCTTTCATACTACATGTTTCAGCCGCAACCGGCCATCGTCAAGTGTATTTTACTTCACGTAGCTGTCACACTGCACTCAATATTAACATTTAAACTCCAGATTTCTAATTGTTCATTGCTCTGTCGTCAGTCGGCATCCGATATTCCAGAACTCCTCTTGTCAGTTTTGTCAATTATGTTTAAAATCTTTATTAATATTGACTCATCGATTGGTTTAAAATTTTAAATTCTCAATTTAGCTTTAATATTTAAAATTTATATTTAAATTTAAAATAAAAAATCAAAGAGATACCTGCTCTATGCTTATATGTTCAGCAGCGGCTACCTCTTACTTTCAGCACAACTCGCGTGTTATTTTTGTGCATGCTCTCTGTGTCTGTGCCACTGCTTTTCTTCAATACGTTTGCTCGTCCATCCAGGGATTATTTTCCTGTGTCCAAAGGCAAATGGCTCATTGTTATCCATGCAGGGGGAGCTCAATGTTTCATCCCTAATGCCTATGTCCGCTTCAAATCCCACCAATTATGAAAAATGGTTAAAGGAGTGACTTATTCCTAACCTTCCCCCAAATTGTCCTTGTCATTGATAATGCTCCCTACCATAATGAACAACTAAACAGAACCCCTAACTCAAACTGAAGAAGAGATTTTATGATATTCTGGCTAAAATATCACCTTCCACCTACTACCTTCAATAACACTGATTTTTCATCATTGCCGAATCAAGACATATATAATATGATCCTACCACTCAAACCGAAATACCTTTCCTATAATATAGATGGAATCTTTGCAGAACACAATCACAATATTTTACGACTCCCTCAGTATCACCCAGAACTCAACCCAATTGAGCTAATATGGGCCACCGTAAAAAAATTGGGTTGCTCAAAACAATACCACATATAAGATGGATGACATCATTAAACTGGCAGACCAAAAATTGGCTTCCATAACTGCAGAAGAATGGCAACGTAGGTGCCAACATGTAAGGAACATTGAGCAACAATTAATGGCACAGGAAGGCCTTTTGGACGCAGGACGGGAGTTTGTCTTCCATGTTGGCAGTGATAGTGATGACAGTTCTGATGATAGCTCCGATTCATCTGGTGGTGACGAGGAAGGACAGGCATGTGGAGATGATATCTGTGCGGACATTGCCGGTGTTGCCCCCTTAGAATAGACCCGTTGTAATATGTAAATAAACTCTTCATGTATATAACAGTGAAAAGTGTATAGTGCATAATAGTCATAATAGTCTGCCATTTGGCACTTAAAACTTAACATCGGATGTGTGACCATCATCGAGACTAAACCACCAACACTATGCAACACAATGAGGTAAGAAGTTATTTCCTTTTGATAACGCCTGTACTGCATTCCCCGCCATACTTGTCGGCATGCTGGAGCACTCCCCGCCACTACCAATACTTCTCATACTCAGCGTTGGAGGACTGTCAGCTCTAAATACTACAACTATAACTTTCCAAAATAATCCCTTTCACAGAAAGCTGAAAGTCTTACAGTGAACAGCGCTGCATTGGTGTCATGTGGATACTGTTTAAAAAAGTAAGAAAATGTGTATGTTCTTAATGGTGTGTGGGAAGCAAAGATTTGAAGTGGATACCTCCAGATGCTGTACTGCTGAGCTAACTTGCTAGTTGGTAGTAGTTGAGCTGCCAGGAGATTCTATGGTCCCCTGAGTCAGTTGAATGCATTCTACTCATGTATCTTCACAACTCTTGCGTAGGTTCCATTTTAATATTATGATCTGGCATTTTATTCACTTTCTCTTATGCATCCTGTTCTCTGTGATTCATCTCTTGGGGGGGGGCAATTATCTTTTGTTTCTTTAGTTTCTTTATTCCCTATCCATCTCAGAATTAGATGTTCGAAGATGTTTGTTCTTGAACACACACTGTATATCTGTACTCGCCAAGTTTCAGACATGTACAAACAACAGTGACTTTTTATTTGAAAGGCCCAGAATTCTGATTGTGACTTGGAGAATGGCTGTTCAGAATATTAGATGCTTTCTTCAGTTTATCCTAGAATATTGCATGGTAGTTTCATAAAATAGGCCATGACTGCCTGCTTTCACATTCTTTTCTGCTCATCATTCATAACTGTTGTGTCACTCTGCTTGGCGAGGTGTCAGTAAATGTTCCAAGAATGAGAGGATCACAGTGAGCTGCTGCTGAGTACAATATCTGAGAGTGACTGGAAAGCACAGAGTTTCAAAAGCAGAAGAATTTCTGTGGCATTTAGCAGACCAGTTTACAGTTTTATATTTCCAGTCTCATGTATAAAGATACATAACAGACACATTTGTTGTATTCGCTGAAGCTGTGACGTTTGTCTGAAATTGTCTCAGACATAGTGAAATCTGATGTCTTGATGTGACTGTACTATCCCCCCCCTCCCATGTTGTGGTCTGGTCCACACTGCAAACGTGTGGCCCATATGTTATATTTCTTACTGTTAACTCTGTGTGGTACATGTGGTCCACACAGCACAGATTTCTGCTTGCTGTGGCACCACCCATCAGCATTGCGCTGCCTCAGTGTGTCTGAAGGAATGTAATGTATTGTTATGCAGAAAGGGCTCCAACGCCAGAAGTGAAAAAGGGTCCTGCACTGCCTGTGTCCAGTCACAAGCCACCATCAGTGGAGCAGCGACCAATCACATTCCAGAGCACACAGCGCCCCTTGCCACCCACACCAGATGACAGCAAATTGCCAGAGAAGCCTACCAGTGAGTACCAACCTTGTAAACTATGGTTACAATTGTTTGTGATGAAAGGGAGTCTGCCTGCAGGTATTTGATTTGATTTGTTTTGTGGTACTATATTAGTCATGATCACGACCGTGCAAAGTACCCCATTAAGTTCGCTGTATCTGAGCTGTCCAATTATATGCACAAACCACAAACAGCTTGCAAACAAAGCAAACAAGATGCAGTCATTTCCATTATCCAGTATGTAATTGAACAGTATTCCAAAAAGGAACATATTTTGGAATTATGGTTTTTAGTAATCTTCCTTGTAGTGTAAAGAACTTAGCTCACAACATGATTTGCTTGAAGAGATTTCTTCTTTTACATTAATTTTACTAATTGGAAGAATATTTTAATTTCAACATTAATTAATGATCTTGGACTATTTATGCTGGATGGCTAGCAGCATATTCTTATGTTAGATTACTGTAGTCTTGTTTGAGATTAGTGTGATGCATGTTTTTATATATATTGTAACATGTTTTGTTACTGAAGACGCCGTAGAGATGGTTAATTGGTTTATTTAACAATCTACAAATAACGGCTACAATTACTTATCTCACAGTTGCGGGGTTTCACACTTTATAACCCTAATCGCATTAATCTGTTAACACTGTTGCGGGGTTTCACACTTTATAACCCTATGCGCAAATCAGTTCGCTCTGCCTTCAGTAGTCTACACGTTTGCAGTAGGGGAGCTTTGTATCACTGTATCACACGCTCCCACTTACACAATCACACACACGTCCGGTTCTTCTATCCGCGACGGCTGCTATACTCCAACTGTAGTCCGCTGACTGGAGAACTGTTGATAACACACTCTCGTAGGCTTGCTCGGAACTATCTTCGGCGATGGCCACGTTATAACTCGGCTGCTGTCACAGTACAACTGAAGTCGCCGACTGCTACAGTAGAACTC